AGGTTGCTAAATAGTTAAGTAAAAAGGTGGTCGCTCTGTGTGGCTTTGCAGAGAGCGGCAAAAGAAGGCACTAAAGGGGTTTGTTGAAAAAAAGTTCACTGGCGCCAAAAACAACCAGAAGCACCTAAAACTCACCACTGAACTAAAACTTTGCTCAGAACTCTGTGTGCAGACACATTGCTCAGTGTCTGGCCTTCCAGACTGTGCTACCACTGGGCCCGTGGGGCCTTGGTTTAAATGCAACCCTGTTCTACTGCTCCCCCTATATTTCCCCTTGTTGTATTTCTCCTCTCATCCCTCTGTAAATAAATATTTCCCTTTGTTATATCCACTGTACTTTTCCTGTGGGTGTGTGTGTTCACTCTGGGGGGTTTGGAACAGGTGCCCCTGGGGTGGAAGGGATTTCTCCTGCTGCGTTCCTGCGCGCGCCTTCTCTTGGCCAGAGCTGCCTGCAGAGCAGACTCCATCTTGGCCACGAGGGCGCTAAAGATACATAAGAGACTGAAATCTACTCTAAAACCAGTACAACAATTGGACTTCATTGGAGCACACCTAGACTCCATAGAGGCCAAAGCATCATTACCAATGACCAGATTTGCGCACTCACCACTCTCATATCAGTGATCAAAAATAGCCCATGGGTATCTGCACACACCTGCCTTCAACTACTGGGACATATGGCGGCCACCACCTTCGTAGTAAAACACGCTCGCTTACACATGTGCTGTCTACAGGGAGGGCTGAGCTCGGTATACATACAACGAAATCACAGCCTGAACAAAAGGGACCAAGCAATAGTAATCAGATTCTTCAATGATGTTTTGATATTGGACATTTGCAGGCAGGGCTGGCTCCAGGCACCAGCCGAGCAAGCTGGTGCTTGGGGCGGCAGCTTGTAGGAGGCGGCATTCCGCCCAATCCTAGGGAGGCACGGCCGCTTTTTGTTGTTGTTGTTGTTGTTCCGCTCCGGCCGCCCTGTAGGGGGCAGCGGCGTGGAGGACGGGAGCGCCCTGCAGCAAGCCCGGCTGGGCAGCCCACGTCCTTCCCTCCCAGCCGACCGGAGAGGTGCGGAGCCCTCCCGGCAGGGGGGACGGCGGGAGGGGCCGCGTGGCAGCGCCCCGCTGAAGCCCTGGCTGCTCCCCTTCTCTCTCTCTCCCCCCCCCGCTCCC